TTACCATACCAATGTCGAAAAACACTGAAAAAAAAAAAGAAAAGGGAGAGGTTGAATTTGTTTCCGATACTTTGGTTAACTGGCCGGGAGTTGGTGTTGTGGTGGTGGAAGGGCGTTAATTTGGGGATGAGATACCCACCCGACAACTCAGCCCAAGGTTTCGATATTTACTCCACCTGTCTCTCCACTACTTCCCTTTTTCTTTTTTTCCTTTTTCTTTTTTTTTTCACTCTCTGTTTGTCTGTATCTCTCGCTCAGGCGGACATTTGCACACACGCAAACTCCACCACTCCACATGTTCATACATAGATTCCAAATACAATTTCAATCTCTCAAACTAATTTTACCCTCCTTTTCCCCTTAATCTTATTTTTACGTTATTTCCTCTCTCTCATCCTTAATTCTAATTCTCCAATCCCTCCGTATTAACGAGTGAGTGGGTGTTAATTAAAATTAATTATCAAGAAAAATATTGGAGTTACTCATCTTTCTTCTTTTCTTTTGTCAGTTTTTCAATTCAAACACAGTTTCTTTCCTTAAATTGATATGTTTGTGTTAGATACGCTGAGTATTTCCAATGATATTATCGTTGATAATTTTAAGGAAGATGACGATGTTATTGAGGATGAACATGGCAATCCAGGCAATGGGTCTGATGCCCACCCTGCCAAGAAGAAGAAGAACAAGAAGCCTACTATGATGCTGATGCTGCAGAAGAAGAAGAAGAATAAGAAGAATGAGAAGAAAGAGAACATGCCTCTCAGAGAATCATGCGATGGTTCTGCAACTAGTAAAAGCATTAATTTCTCCAAACCAAACAAAGTGTTCCTCTTCCCCTTCATTAAGCCCAACAGACTTTTGCATAAAAAAAGCACTCCTGCTGCTGCTTGGAATGCTGATTGTTTTCCAGGTAACACTTGTACTAGTTGTTTTTGTTTTAAGCAACCCCCTCCCTCGGAATCTCCTTCAACCTCAACAACCCTCCAGTCTCAAACAAGCGACCCTAATCATCCTGACTTCACCTTCGACATGTTGAAATCTTTGATCGAGACCAATGATTTCTATTCCAAAGAATGCAACCCCCATTCTTTAGATACTACTGCTACTACTTCATGAAGATTTCGCAGGTTCATCCATCCTATCATATCATCTACAGTGTTACTGTTTTCAATTTCTTCATGAGATTTTTGCCAAAAGATTTGCTGATTGATCACACGGGTCCTTCTCTTTTCTGAAATGCTTTCAAAAAGCTTGGCTCTTTATTTTAGTGATACCGATTCTGTGTTTTTGGCCTTCGTTCATTGGTGATATCAAGAATATAGTCATCTTCATTCATATTCTAAATTTTGCCCTCAAGAGTATACCTTGTCTGCCTCTTGGATGGAGAATTGGAAGCAGCTCTGTAAATGATTAAGGTATGTCATACATGCAATATCTAGACTCTTATACGTCTTTGCCAGGCAGATGTCTGTATGGGGAATCAAACAGATACAAGATTCAATATCAATTGTTTCTTTTTATTCAAATTTCTGGCACAATTCTTTGTGAAGGCTACGGAGATTCACAAGGATATTGGTGTTTAGAGGGATTGGCATGAACATTTCGGTCCTTTGCAATACTGCGAGCGTTTGTCAACATCTTTGGATTTTTTTTATCAAATTGTATATAGAATTTTGTTTTAATAGATTACTTGATATTTCTTATACACTGGCACATTATATTTTCCAATATGTAGACCGTGATAATTTTCAATGGCTGAGTCAATTAGTTTTGGTGTTACTCTTTGCTTCTTTCTTTACAACTGCAGTACCCTGATAACTCTTGATCCATGCCCTAGCACTTTTAAGGTGCATGATTGTCGAGATTTTTGTACGTTAAAAGCCTTGATTGAGAAGAATATATTTATTTCAAAGAATGCAATCCCCATTTTGATGCATATTAATGATGATAGTAACGATAATGAATGCTTCAAGGGAAGGGGGTCATTTTCACTGCTCTCAATATCTCTATGAGTTGAAGAAGATTGCAGATTGATCACATGGGTTGGTGGGGTTTGTGAGTTTATTTTAAAAGTTTTGCTCTTTGATTTCGTTGGCTTGTGGTTCTTTGTTTTGACATTCGCTTATTGATAATTTGTTCAATCAATTAGGAACTTGCGGTTGCAATACAACTTTTGTAGCCTGAGTGGCGATTTCCTTCCCTGAGTAATTTGGTTCCTCTTACTTGAATCATTCGTGATTATGTATATCATGTAAGAGTGCTACCTTCATTTGAGCTTCAGTACTTTTGGGTAAAGCTGACTGATGTCCTGTACCGAGCCAGAATTCTCCATACCACTAAGATGGCTCATTTGGCATCCATGTAAAATTTACAACGACGAATGGAGGTTCAGTCTTGTCTACCTGCTTGTCTACTGTTTACCTTGGATGGAGAGTACTTGGGAGCAGCTCCATGTTTAAGGTCTCTGCCACATGTTTACCTTGTCTACCTTTGGCAGAACTCTATATAAAGCTTCTGTTGGACTTACAAACTTCAAAACCAGTTGTTAACTTGTATGCAAATTTCATGTACAAGACTTGGGAAATTCAGAAGGATTCAAACATATAGTAGATTTGGCAAGATATTTTTTATTCTTTTGAATTGTAGATTTTTGTTTGAAACAGATTATTAGTTCATATTTCTTGCGTTCTAAATTATGTTTTCCTCGATATGTCTTTTGAATCTAGGTACTGGAATTAAGCAGTTTGAATAGTACCTTTTGCGTCTTTCTCAACAGGGCAGCACGCTGATAATTATTTATCTGAAATTCTCTTTGATAAATTGTTTTATTTCTTAAGTTCTTTTTGCTTCTTTGTGCTTGTAAGGGCATGATGTTTAAGGTTTATGTTATTGGATGGAATGGCGGAAACTACTTCTATAGCCTGATTGGTTGCTGTAAGATTTTTACTGGATTGCCCTTAGTCAAGGTAACGAGTTCATTCTTGATGACTTACAGCATGAAAGCAGCAGCTGCCAGTACTTTCAACTTAAATACCAGTGGAAAAGATTAGCGAGGGCCATGTATTTAATGAGCACATCCTCTTTAAGAATCGATATACATCTAGATAGAGAAGGTTAGAGGCAAGGTAATCGATAGATGCATTCTCAATGCAGCAACAGATCGTGAAATGTAGCTAATGCCTTTCAATATTCTGTATTTTGGCATATTTTATGCATTAACGTTTGTATTAATGAGCTATCTATTTATGATTCGGCATGTTTCATCATATGAATTGATTGTTTTCAATGCTTGAGGCATTCGTGATTCTCTGCTTGTATGCTTGGTTTGTTCAGTGAGGTTACCATCAGGAGTTACCATCAAGAGTCTTATGGAGGTGACAGATTCCATACCATCGGAATCACACTCCACGTGTTTTACATGATTCTGTGTCATGAATCTCTAATCAGTGAATGGAGTTCGCAAGACATCCTATGACCCAATCTCAGAGAACTTTTGCGTCAACTTTGTGTTTATTAATGAATTTCCGATTCTGTGACCAGTGAAACAGAGGGTTAGGCTGCTAAAAGTTTGTTTCGGCTGCAGGTGTAAATGCAATTCTTGTGGTTTTAAGAGTGCTGGCCTTTGATAATCTTTTTGTTTACATAGTTGTTCCCGTCCTGTGTTACCTAGAATTGCTTCTGAGATCTCTGTTATAGGTGATCTTTGGGGATCTATGCGCGTGGATGTGGTGTACAAGGGGCTGAATCACCTAATTTTTTTTTTTATATACTATGATTAGAGGCACGGGCCATGAAGACAGTGTATGGTTAATTTATGGCACCATGTCAAGAATGTGACATCGAACACGGGCTCAAACTGGATTTTCCAGCATAAATGATGCCAGTGCTGCCTATAGCAGGGAACATGGAGAACCCTCTATTGGAACATGCCACATCACACATATTGAGGTTCAGCATGTGCATATCTATCAAATTATCAACGAGAACCAAGAGCAACGAAAAATGCATCGCAGAAACTTGAGATTATCTTGCTAGACGTCCAGTCTCAGATTATTAGTAGTGTGGATGTTGGCAGTTCGTGATGGGAAGAAATGCTTAGAGAGAGGTTGCAAGTGACAAAAATTTAACAGATAAGAGCATCGATGCCCTTCCTTCGGTACCTATATGAAACTTGTCGCAGTTCGCCTGTTGTTGAAGATAATAAGGAATACATGATCCGCTGGACACTTAACAAAGGGTCCTTCACAAGATGGTTTCTTCGTTCATTCTCGGGTCAAAATACGGAGGACATATGCTCTAGTCACCGTCTTGTGAAAGCAATGAACTTGGAATCTTGTCCAAAATGGATAAAGGGAATGGCCCTACTCTGCTATCATACCATTCCCAGAACAAATATACATATAGGAAATCGAGAATTCAATGATAGCAGTGAAGTATGGCCCAAAAGGCCAATCTGAATGTAGAAGATGCGTCAGGATTGGATTGTAATGCATTGCGGAGTTGGAGTGCACGTGAATACCATAACTCACTGTGATGTTTGTGTTTAAGTCGAGTTAACTCAGAAGGCATGGCCTCATGTTTTACGATGGGGCCTCTCTATTTTTCACACGTCTTTGGCTTTTTACCCTTTGTTTTCTAGCATCAGCAAATTAGTCAAAGTTAAGCTTCCTTCTCAATTCATAATTCACCTATCCAAAGGGCCAAATCTCTTTTCTATTGTTGAGGATAGGATTCCACTTGCATGTACACTCCCCATATACTTTAATTTATAATAATCACAAAGTGGATTAGGCACTTGCAAGTCCAACAAGAATAGTTTTTGCAGTTTTGTTTGGGATTGCTGTAGGAGAGACATCAGGCATGTGCTGAGGTGCTTATCAACACCAGATCCATCATCGCTTTACCATAAATAACATACCAATTTTAAATCCAATTAAATAAAGAAAAAGAAGACAAAAGGATAAACCAATGAAATTAGCAGTCCATGCTATTTATAGGGGTGACCCAAAGCTGCCGTACTTTGTAAAGCCAACCAAACCATTGCAAGGGGACTTGTATTTCTTTATCCAAGACCAGGACAGGCGTGACTGCTAGTGTTTTCGAGTTTGAGCAAAGGCAAACCCACCCATCAAGGAAATCCTCAATCTCTGTAAATGGTATCTAAAACCCAGTGACTGATATACTAATATAATATTGGTTCGTGGTCCCCTGCCCTGTGCTGGGATAGAATAAGGGATTGGAGTGGAGGGGTCCCTCACAGCAAGAGTCACAGAGACACAAGAGGGAAGGGAAAGGCAGTCATCAGTATATTTTCTACTCTATTATTTTATTAACAAGATATGGGGTTTCTGTTTCCCGGGGTCACTTGGGATTCTCATTTTACTTGCTTTTATTTTTCTCCTCCTTCTCCTTTCTCTTCTTCAAGCTGTTTAAACCCCAGTTGTTGATCCTTACTGGATCTATCATAACTGGGTTCCGCTTCGTTCATCATCTCATAAGGTTAGAGGCTTTTCCTTTCCTTATCTTCTCTTTCTAATGCTTTGGTAATAGTCATTTTTTCAGCTCAAAACAATCAAGTCTGGGTGAAGAAATTTCATAATTTAGTTGCTAAAAATTTGATCTTTATAATTATTATTTTTTATATTAGTTGATCGGGGAGTCCATCCTTTGTGATCATAATACTTTGTGGGTGCAATTTAGGTATAAAATGAACAAAAAATTGTATTTTTCAAAATGATTTCTTTGTTGTTTTTGTTTAGTAACTTATTGCACTTAAAGGTATTAATAATCTAAGGGAAGATGACAAGTATTCAGTAATAGGGCATTAGATTCTCTATGATCAAGTTTTCTTGTCTTTGAGTACTTGAGGTACTCATCTAGAAATTCTGATGTTTTCATCATCATCGAAGGCCATATTCACAAAAATTCCCCAGTTCCAATGCCATTATCTTTTTAGTTACTACTCGTTCCAGCTGGTTTGATGATAATGACGAAATGATTACACCAAAGGTGGGAATAAAGACGGCATTTGTATCAATAACAATTACTGCTATGGTTGTTTCACTTCATGCAAAACGAATGGTTATTGTTTGCATCACTTTATGCAAAAAGATATTGTTCTTCGTGCGTAGAAGTAGAACTAGTTCCAGTAATCAAGCATTCCTCCTAAGTTTAAGATTTTATCTCATCATTTTCATTCTTTTCCTCTCAACAGTTTGAGTGAAAATGTCTTCTTCAAGGCCAAGCCACTCATCCAGCAACTCAGCAAGATCAAGACACAGTGCTAGGATTATTGCTCAGACCACTGTGGATGCCAAGCTTCATGCTGATTTTGAGGAATCAGGCAGCTCTTTTGATTACTCAAGCTCAGTGCGTGTTACTGACTCAGTTGGTGGAGATCAGCCACCCAGGTCTGACAAAGTAATTACAGCTTATCTTCACCACATCCAGAAAGGCAAGCTGATCCAGCCTTTTGGATGCTTGCTAGCCTTAGATGAGAAAACTTTCAAAGTCATTGCATACAGTGAGAATGCCCCTGAACTGTTGACTATGGTCAGTCATGCAGTGCCAAGTGTTGGGGAACATCCTGTTCTTGGCATTGGAACTGACATCAGGACTATCTTCACTGCTCCTAGTGCATCTGCCTTGCAAAAAGCCATGGGATTCGGGGATGTTTCTCTTTTGAATCCTATATTGGTCCATTGCAAGACTTCTGGGAAGCCATTTTATGCCATTGTTCACCGGGTGACTGGCAGTTTGATCATTGACTTTGAACCTGTGAAGCCTTACGAGGTTCCCATGACTGCTGCTGGAGCTCTACAATCATACAAGCTTGCAGCCAAAGCAATTACTCGGCTGCAGTCTTTGCCTAGTGGAAGCATGGAAAGGCTTTGTGATACAATGGTTCAGGAGGTTTTCGAGCTCACTGGATATGATAGGGCGATGGCCTATAAATTTCATGATGATGATCATGGAGAAGTGGTCTCTGAGGTTACAAAGCCAGGCATGGAGCCATATTTGGGTTTGCACTATCCAGCCACTGATATCCCTCAGGCTGCACGCTTTCTATTTATGAAGAATAAAGTTCGAATGATTGTTGATTGTCATGCGAAACATGTCAAGGTGCTTCAGGATGAGAAGCTTCCATTTGATCTAACGTTGTGTGGTTCAACCCTGAGGGCCCCACACAGTTGTCATTTACAATACATGGAGAACATGAACTCCATTGCTTCTCTGGTTATGGCAGTTGTAGTCAATGATGGGGATGAAGATGGTGATACCCCTGATTCTGCGAACCCACAGAAAAGAAAGAGACTTTGGGGTTTAGTAGTGTGCCATAATACAAGTCCGAGGTTTGTTCCTTTCCCTCTTAGGTATGCTTGTGAGTTTCTAGCTCAAGTATTTGCTATCCATGTCAACAAGGAATTGGAGTTAGAAAATCAAATTGTTGAGAAGAACATCCTCCGCACCCAGACACTCTTATGTGATATGCTCATGCGTGATGCACCATTGGGTATTGTGACACAGAGCCCGAACATTATGGATCTGGTAAAGTGTGATGGTGCTGTCCTGTTCTATAGGAATAAGATCTGGAGGTTGGGGATAACTCCAAGTGATTTGCAGCTTCAGGATATAGCTTTTTGGCTCTCCGAGTACCATATGGATTCTACAGGTTTGAGTACAGACAGCTTGTATGATGCAGGGTACCCAGGGGCTCTGGCTCTTGGTGATGTAGTTTGTGGAATGGCAGCTGTGAGAATAACTTCCAAGGACATGCTTTTTTGGTTTCGATCCCAGACTGCTGCAGAAATTCGATGGGGTGGTGCAAAGCATGAACTTGGGGAGAAGGATGATGGAAGGAGAATGCACCCTAGGTCATCTTTCAAGGCCTTCCTTGAAGTTGTCAAGACAAGGAGTTTGCCTTGGAAGGACTATGAAATGGATGCAATCCATTCTCTGCAGCTTATCCTGAGGAACACATTCAAAGACATTGAAACCATGGATGTGGATACCAAAACAATTCATGCAAGGCTAAGCGACCTCAAAATTGAAGGGATGCAAGAACTTGAAGCAGTGACTAGTGAGATGGTCCGTTTAATTGAAACAGCTACAGTGCCAATTTTGGCAGTTGATGTTGATGGTCTAGTTAACGGGTGGAATACAAAAATTTCTGAATTGACTGGTCTTCTTGTTGATAAAGCAATTGGGAAGCATTTGCTAACACTAGTGGAAGATTCTTCGGTTGATATAGTCAAAAGAATGTTATTCTTGGCATTGCAGGGTATGTCATTTTATGTTTTGGTCATCTCTTACTTGTTTGGTTGGTAACAAAATGTTATTCTTTGCCTGAGCGGAAATGATGGTTGTTTGAATATCTTTGGTATGTCATTTTATGTTCTGGTCATCTCTTACTTGTTTTTTCATTAATAAAATGTTATTCTTTGCCTGAGAGGAAGTGGTGCTTGTTTGAATCTCTCGGGTGTGTGTATATTGTTCTGTAGAACATTCCAATTCATCTGCACCACTTTCAATACTTTTCCTTTCTTTTTTGATCAGGCAAAGAAGAGCAAAACATACAATTTGAAATCAAGACACATGGTTCCAAGTCTGAATGTGGCCCCATCTGCTTAGTTGTTAATGCCTGCGCAAGCAGGGACCTTCATGAAAATGTTGTGGGGGTGTGCTTTGTGGGTCAGGATATCACTGGCCAGAAGATGGTCATGGACAAGTTCACCCGAATTGAAGGGGATTACAAAGCAATTGTACAAAACCGAAACCCTTTGATTCCCCCAATATTTGGGACGGATGAGTTTGGCTGGTGTTCTGAGTGGAATCCTGCCATGACAAATTTGACTGGTTGGAAACGAGAAGAAGTTCTAGATAAAATGTTATTGGGAGAGGTTTTTGGGTTAAACATGGCATGCTGTCGTCTCAAGAATCAGGAGGCTTTTGTAAATCTTGGTGTTGTTCTTAACACTGCCATGACTGGCCAGGAATCCGAGAAGGTTTCTTTTGGTTTCTTTGCTCGGACTGGAAAGTATGTGGAATGCCTGCTGTGTGTGAGTAAGAAATTGGACAGAGAGGGTGCAGTCACTGGGGTATTCTGCTTTCTACAGCTTGCAAGCCAAGAGCTGCAACAAGCACTACATGTCCAGCGATTATCAGAGCAAACTGCTTTGAAAAGATTGAAAGCATTGGCTTATTTAAAAAAGCAGATCCAGAATCCTCTCTCTGGAATTATATTTTCTGGCAAAATGATGGAGGGAACCGAGTTGGGAGCAGAACAAAAGGAGCTTCTGCATACCAGTGCCCAGTGCCAGTGCCAGCTCAGCAAGATTCTTGATGACTCAGATCTCGATAGCATCATTGAAGGGTATGATAAAGTCCAATCTATCATATTGATATCCCTGTTCTTTTTTTTTATTAAGCTATGCATTTCCTGGGAAAAGAAATCCACTGTACTGTTAGGAGAAATGCATTTCACCTTGCATCCAAGATTCTTAGGAATAGTACATCTTTGAATTTAGATGTGTTAAATTACTGGAACTTTTGCTACTTATAGAAGTTGAGTGAACCTCTTCGTTCATTTTTGATTGGATGGCAAGCTTTCTCAAATGATTTTGGTGTGTTATGGCACTTATAGTTTTAAGTTTTATATGGCCTCTTCAGATAGTTTTGGTCTTCAATTGCATGCTTGCTCACTTCAATCTATGAATTTGTGTTACACTATAACTGAATTGGATGCCTTGTGGATTTGGTAGGGGTCATGTTCAAAAGTTTGGACTTGGAATATTTCAATTTTTCCTTTGTAAAATATACTTCCCCATCCTTTCTGTGTTGCTTTTGGTGGTGAACGTGCTTGCTTGATGTGAAATCTCAACAGAATTTTTTCAAAACAAACATTACTTCTAATTTCTTAGTTCTCAGAAGTAACAAAGTTCTTTTATACATCTGAATCCACAGGTCTTTCATATTCACTTCTCAGAGTTTTTGTATTTCCTCTCAAGCTAGTTTTTTGCAACTTCACCTATTAATAATTAGTCCACACACATGGCCAATATATCAATTTCCTTTATGGAACTCTTGTTTAGGCTCTACCATCTGAGGACAAACTGGTGTGAGTGTGGTAGTTTTGTGGTTGAAAATCAAGAGAGCTGTTGCTCTATCTGCCTATAATGCGTGCACAAACTCAACATGATTTATTGAAACCTAATACTTTTATTTTTCAATCTCTCATTAACAGTTGTTTTCCCTTTCTGAATTGTGGTCAGTTACTTGGATCTGGAAATGGTGGAGTTTACCCTGCGTGAGGTAGTAGTGGCTGCTACCAGTCAAGTCATGATGAAGAGCAATGAAAAGGGCATTCGAATAGTCAATGATGCAGCTGAAGAGACGATGGCTGAGACCTTATATGGTGATTGCATCAGGCTTCAACAGGTGTTGGCTGATTTCTTGCTGATGTCAGTTAATTTTACACCATCTGGAGGCGTGCTTACTGTTTCAGCTAGTTTTTCCAAAGACCAGTTGGGGCAATCTGTTTATCTTGTGCATCTGGAACTCAGGTACCACTTGAAGCATAAATGAGATTTTCAATATCCAGATATGGTTCCGTTTAGGTGTAATTCAAGCATCTATGCATGTCAAATATCAGATGACTTTGGTATCTCTTGTTTCGGATAAGTGGCTCCAAGCCACCAAAGGAATGGGAATGAAACATTATCTATTTAATCGATCAGCTACTCTATGCATTTCTGTAAAAGCAGTTGGAATGCATAGAGAGTGAACAAAAGGATAAGACATTAAAATATTGCTCTGATTGAGCCAGATACCCTAACAAAATGAAGAGAATCATTATATGTTTATGGACTGGGGGTTCAGTTAATAACTCGGGTTATTATGCTACTTTTTGGACAGGATAAGGCATCCTGGTGCAGGGATTCCTCAAGCACTGCTAGATCAAATGTATGGGGAGGATACAGATGCGTCTGTGGAGGGGATCAGCTTGGTTATAAGCAGAAAGCTGGTGAAGCTGATGAACGGAGATGTTCGGTACATGAGGGAAGCAGGGAAGTCGAGTTTTATCATATCAGTAGAGCTTGCTGGTGGCCATAAATCGCAAAAAAGGGCATGATAAACAACAAGGCAGCCCATACCAGGAAAGAAGATAGGGTGATGTGTTTGTGTATAGTTGGTGGGG